GTTACGAGTGGCTTGGGGTGCGCAGGCAGGCGGCTGAAATGTGGGACGCCCGATGCGGACCGAGGCCCCCCTTTGGCCCTCGTGAATCAGCAGCGCCTTGGTGCGCGAGAACGGCTTGAGGAACAACAGCGGAATTTCCGAAGGAAGATCGGGCCCCTTTCCCCGTTCCGAACCCAAAACGTTCCCCATTTCAGCGTCCTGGTTGTCAAGAAGTGGTCGCGCGATGGCTGGAGTCTGACGTCCGCAGCCTTGCCCCAATCCCAGGCCCGTTCCGAGCTCCGACGGCCACGGGCGTCCGCCCTGCTTGCCATGGGCTCGGACCGCAGCAGATCACCGCGGCGACCCGCCGCCGACGCGGACGAGGCTGTTGGTTGCCAGTTTTTGGGTGGGAGTGCAGGTGTAGAAGGGTGGACGGGTGATAGGGGGAGCGGGGGGTGGCGCGGAGTAGAGGCGGGCGCTCGACGTCCATAGCTTGCCCCCGCCACCCCACGCCGCCCACATCCCTGTCCCCCCTCTGCACCGAGGGCTCTGCCGCCAGCTCGCTCTCGCTTGCGAGCACGTGGCACAGCGTCTGTGGCATCGAGGCCGATGCTGGGGGATGTGTAACTGGCTGGGTACCCCAACGGGTGGAGGGGTCGCGAGGACGCGCCGCTGTCCGCGGCCTGGGCCAGATGATGGCGCCCCGCCCACCAGTCCCCCAGGGCGGCGGCGTGATGGCGCGAAGCGAGTCGCATTGGGGTGGGGCGGGGGGGGGCGGAGGGCGGGGGATGGGGGGACGTCGGAGGCGGAGGCTGAAGGCGGATGAGGCATCGGGGGAGGGGGGGAGGGAATGACGTGCATTCGGGCATGGCCTGAGGGCGCGTCCTCTTTCACGGACGCCTCGCCCGAGTCGGAGGCGGCGCCCGACGACGAGCCCGACGCGAAGTCCGACGGCTCCGCCCAGTCCGACGCCCCCCCCCATTGAGTCCGACAGCATCGCCGACGCGAAGTCCGACGCAGCGCCCGACGGTTCCGACAGCATTGTCTCCGCGACTGAGTCGGCTGAACTCGAGCCCGACAGCCAGCCCGACAGCCAGCTCGACAGCATGGGCTCAGACAGAGTGTTCGAAACGATCCCCGACGGCGAGCCCGAGCCCATTCGCGATTTCGAGCACATCGATTTGAACAAGCCGCAACCATCAGGGCTGCGCGCCGCGCTCGCCGACCGCGTGCAGCCAGACTTCGGCGTCGTGGTGCTGCCCACCACCAGCAGCTCGGACAGTCCACTGCCCGACTGCGTCGAGAGCCCGCCCAGCGTGCTGGTGAGTTCTCTTTCAGACCCTTGCATGGACATCGCCGCTGCCCCGCAATAGGCTGCAGCCATCCAGCTAAGGCTTGCTATAGTTGCCGTTGCCGCTCAGCCCTCCACCCGCTCGTTCCATGCAGTCGCCGCGCCTGATGCGCACCGTTCAGCCTCCCCCATCAGCATTTTCGATCAGTTGCGCTGCGCTTAGCCGTGGTACCGCTCGGACGTGTGTAGTTTCTTCTCGGCGGGGGCTTGTAAGGAGCATCCTGGATCACCCTGCGTAAAAAGACACGTACGAAACCGAACCGCACGCAGGGAATGTACGCCCGAGCGATTGCCAGTAGCTCCAGTTCGCACTGTATAGCGGTATAGTAGTTCGGCACATTGGCCGTTGCGCGAGCTTGATTTGTGACCGACCGCCCGTTCGCCAGTGCTTTCTTGAGGGGGTTATTGCCGTTGTCTTGATCCTCGGGTGCCTCACGTCGCGCGCGCGAAGCCAGGGGCACCCCTAGAGGCCGTCGACCTGCACCCACCAGGGCCCCAAGCGAAAGCCCACCCCAGCCCCTCTGATTCGACTCGACCGGAGTTCAACGATTCCGATTCCGATCCGATGCGACTTCGGGGCCGACGTCGGTTCAGAATTTCCAACGGGGCTTTATTTAGCATAAACATTTCCGCTGATTCGATGGCTCCGATGTGGCTACCGATCCGCGCCGACCATCTTGATAATCGATCGCCGACCCGACTCGATCCAATTCTGGGCTCCCCTGTACCTCTGCACATGCGACATCTCGGGCGCCTCACGCAGCATCCAATGGGGCAGCACTTGCAATTTTGATGCCCCCGAGGCTCCAAGGAGGCCAGCTGCAGGCCACGCGCTCCCCCGCCCGTCGCCCCCACCCTCTACTCTCCCCCATCCCATCGTCAGTGGGCATGTGAACACGCGCCTGGGAAGCGTTCGAGGCGATTGTTTGCCTAGCAGCAGTGGTCTTACACCGTGGCCCTCTACGCCCCCATCCCCCGCGGTGTGTTGGGGTTGCAGCCGCATCGCGCGCCATCCAGCTTGCTGGCGTTCGTTAGTGACCCTTTTCCGATTTCCCCGCCCTCGCGTGCACCGCCAGTTCTCTGCGTCACCCTACCAACCGCCGCCGCCTTTCAATCGTGCCCCGCCCCCCCCCGCCATGCCGCCCACTCCCTCCTCCCACCCGCTCCCGCCCGAACACATCCGGCAACGCGAACGGAGGGCAACACTCAGACGCACACACACACGCGCACGCACGCATGCACGCACGCGCACTCGCACGCACGCGCGCACGCACGCACACACAAAGACACACCGACACCCAGACATACAGACAACCACACCCAAAGACAGGCACAAACACACACTGGCACAGACGCACACCCACACACCCACGCACACACACACACACACACCGTCACACACACAAGCACATACACACACACGCACACACACACACGCACGCACGCACGCGCGCACGCACGCACGCACGCACGCACGCACGCACGCACGCACGCACGCACGCGCGCGCGCACGCGCACGCACGCACGCACGCACGACACACAACACACACACACAACACCAACACACAACACACAACACACACACACACACACAACACAAACACACAACACACAACACACAACACACAACACACAACACACAACACACAACACACAACACACAACACACAACACACAACACACAACAGACGCACAACACACAACACACAACACACAACACACACACACACACACACACACACACACAACACACAACACACAACACACAACACACAACACACAACACACAACACACAACACACAACACACAACACACAACACACACACGCACGCACGCACACACACGCGCACGCACGCACGCACGCACGCACGCACGCACGCACTCGCGCGCGCACACTCACGCACGCACGCACGCACGCCCCTCCCCCGCCCTCCGTCCCACCGCCGCCGCCGCTGCGCCAGGCGCTGCTGGTCTTGTACCACATCTACTCCTTCACCCTTTGGCAGATCCTGCTCCAGGAGCTGCCAGCTTCTCGCCCTCCTCCTCCCCATCCCTTCCACTCGCCAACCCCGCTCGCCCGCGTGCCAGTGCCCTCCCGCGCGCGCGCAATGCCAGTGCGTACCCATCCCGCGCGCCCGCGTCCCTTTCCCAAGCCCACCGCGTCGGGCAAACGTGAACCATTGGAGCGCTGGATCAATTCTCGGCAGCGGCCGCGGCACGCAGCGCGATCGACGCTGGATTACGGGCGGGCAGCAGTGAGCCAGCATTGCCACGGTCCTACGCCCACTTCCTTCCCGCACTCTCCGCGCGCCCATTTCGCGCACCCCCCCTTTCATCGCCGTCGCAACTTCGCCAGGAGCAGTTGGTCTATTACCGTGGCTACTCCTTCAACCTGTGGCCGATCTTGTGCCAGGAGCTGCCGTGCCCTCGCCCACCTCACCCCCGCCCTCCTCCATCCCCACCCCCCCGCACGTGCGCCAATGCCCGAGTGGTTTTCACGTGCGCGGTTGCGGTGTCACTCCGCCCATTCGCACGCCCCCGCGCAATTGCCCCTCCCACCTCCCGCCCTCGCGCAGCATTCGCCCCGCCTGGCCCGCGCGCCCACCGCTTGCGCCCGCGCCCGGTACCCTGAGCTCCCAGCGCGTCTGGCGAACGTGAGCCACAAGAGCATTGGAATCACCTCTCGGCAGCGGCAGTGGCACGTAGCGCGGATGACGCCTGCCTGCCCATCGGTCGTTGAAAGTCTGTATTCTTGGATTCGCAGGTTCCAATCTACCTTGTCCCACTTCAAGGGCCGAGTGGCGTCGCATTTTCCGCCCTCCCCAGGGTGCCGACATAACCCAATATATTGCCACAAGCTTCCTACTCCGTGTTTCTACATACCTCTTCCGACAGGTGGGCATGGGCGCACCTCAGTACACGGCGTTGGCCCCTGCTGGGGCCCACGCATGTTTGAGATGGAGATGCAGCCATGAAGGGCATGCGCTGAAGCCGCAGCGCCTCGAGACAACGTGGCCGCGGCCCCACGGTCCCTCCCCCCCTCCACCTTGAGCGCCCCGCGCGCCGCCGCCGCGACCCCGCCGCTCCCCCGCGCACGCATGCACGCATGCACGCGCGCCCACCCCTCTCCTGTCAGTGGAGCGTGCCTTCCACGGATCTTCAGCCTTTCACTTCGAGAAATCCTCACAAGCTCTAGGATATGATCCTCAGGGTTGTGTAGGTAGGCGGAGATGTTGAGCTCGCAGAGCTTGAAATACAGCAGAAACGGTGGGCTCGTAGAGCTTGGATATACTGTCCAAAGTGAGAGCGCAACGTTGACGATTAGAGAAACTCGTTTTCTATCTCGCGTGGTCCCCCTGAGCTTCGGACCGATAAGTCAAAATCGCCAAAAGGGGCTTCTTGGCCCGGCTATAAGCCGGACGGCTACGGACAGGAAAACAGAGCACGTGCGGGCGGTTGCACATGGGTTCGAGAGCTCCGAGGACCCGAACAGGACGGACACGGGGTCGGGAGCTCCGGTCACACAGAACCCTAGAAAACTATCTGAGATTCACATGCCCCGAACCATCTGTACGGCCGGCTGTTTTAAATATTAAAGTTATTTCGCGCTCAGGGGGGGGTGAGAAAGAACTGCTGTACACACAGAATATTCCCCTTAGGTGGCGTAGGCTACTGCACGGAGGTAGCATCATGTCTCATTGCGCTCACCGCTTCCGGGAGACGAAAGTCTTGGGGAATATCTGCCTCCTCCTCGATCTCCAAATCCTCCGGGTACAACTGCCAGGCATCGTCGTCATCAACTGCGAAATATGTGGCCTGGTCTAGTGTCTGCAGTCCTCGCTGTCTTCTCTGCTTCTCGGAAATAAAATTAGCGTCGTATATCAACTTCCAGGTGCCTCGCTGCTGCCAAAGGTTGTAGCTGGCGCGAGCCTTCTCCGAGTTCTTGGTCATACAATCGCTCAGCTGCGCACCGCTGTGACACCACCTCAGGGATGTGGATGTGGCGGCCATGCCGCGCTTGAGGGCCAGGGCCTCCAGCGCGCTCCTCTTGTCTTTCATGCCGAGGGCGCTGCTCTCGGACCGATCCAGAGCATCGAACACGCCGCGGCAGTCCAGGACCAGGGCGCCAGGAATCTTCACAGCTTGAAGTCCACTGCTTAAGAGGCGCGGGTCCCAGCAGGATCTCGCTCAGCAGCAGCCTACAAAACTCCAGCTCCTCTTGAGCTTCACTGGCGGCTTGTACCTCGGCCGCGCTCGAGCTCCGACACACTCTCGGCAACTTCGCAGATGCCCAAGCCAGCAGAGAGATCGGCGCCTCTCGGTTCTGCATCAAGGTATAGTCAGTCAGAAAGATCAAGAAACCACCCTGTGAAGAACCATCACGTCGAACATTCCAGGCTGCGTCCGAATAGCCGACCACACACGGATTCGCGTGCTTCTCCATGATGAGCTCTTTGGTCGCCTCAAACTTGGTGCGCCTGATGAGCTTGTTGGCCTGCAGGAGAGTATTCACCGTTGCGGAATTACTGTAAGCCAGCAGCAGTGACAGCTCTGCCCCGATGAGGGGCACGCCCTGCGTAGCTAACCACATGAGCTGACCGAAGGCGGCTCGTAGACGGGTAGCTTCTGACGATATCTCCATGAGCTCCTGGGCGTAGTCAGTCATGTTAAGATGGATACGGCCCCATGACTTCGTGCGTCCATCATATTCTTGTCGAATTCGCGTCCCGCACTGAACAAAATCTTGAGTCTCCCAGCTTCCCCACTCATAGGCTCGATGGAGCTGCTGGAGGGCGTCCACTGCCAAGTCCGAGTGCTGGTCAATCGCGATCATGAAGTCGTCCACGTGGGCTACGGCCAGACCTATGAGCTGCCCTCCAGGTTCTCGTAAACACCACAGGCAAGGTTCTGTCGTAGACTCCACCCAGCCGAGCTTGGCCATGTCCCTGCGAACTCTCGTCCACCATCTGCGAGGAGCGTTCACCAGACCATAAACTGCCTTCTTGAGCTTGACGCATTGGTGATGCTCGAGTCGCATGGCTTCCCTAAGTTCCTTGACTGGTTCGGCCAGGACATTTCGATCTTCTTCTCCGAGATCGCCTTGTAGGAAAACTGCCTTGACGTCACCCTTGAAGACCTGAAAGCCCATCGAGGCGGAGACGCCCAGGAAAGCCTGGCGAGCTCGACGACTGCATGCTGGGGAAGCGGTCTTGATTCGCCCAAGTCCCGGATCGGTAAAGCCAAGAACCACCAAACGAGCCTTAAGGTCGCCAGTCTCCTTCCTTGTAATGACCCATCTCATCTTCATCAGGGCTCCAGGGTGCACTCCTGCACGACTGGCTGCCTCGCAGACTCGATACTTGAGGAAAGACTTGATCTCGTTACCCTTCGCGATCGGGAGCTTCTCACGGTCCTCTGCCGTAAGGTCCTTGAGCTTCACCTCGACCTTGTTCTGTTTGACCATCGCGGCGAGGGCCTTGTCAGGCCTCCGGCTGAGTTGATCCACATCCGACTCCTCCAGCGCGAAGCCGATCATGATCGCGAGGTTCGGCTCGTCCTCGCCCACGAAGCCCACCAGGTCGGAAGCCTTCGTCTTCTGATCATACTCCCAGGGTGAGACCCAATTCGCACTGCCCTCGGATTCGGGCTCGGCACGACCGAGCTCGGGCATGACAAGCGTCGGCGCCTTCTGGCACAGATGGCCCAAGTACCCAGCAAAGTCGGCGCGATGTCTCTTGGGATCTGGATTTTCAGAAGGTTCCTTACTGGCTTCCCGCTTGTTGTAACCTTCTGGTGGTGGCTCGCTCTCGTCGATCTGGTCTCTGGTCGGCGTCGGTGCTGGTTCAGCTGGATTCTGCGCGGGCATAGGAGGCGGTGAGGCCTCAGGCGCGGCCCCTTCGTGGCCACTCGAGTCCGACCCCGCTTCACCTTCGTGATCATCAGGTTGATGAAATGCCATGCTTCTTGGAGTTGTCATCCTGGGTGGGTCTGGTACTTCAACGTTCTCTCCTTCTGGAATATCGTCCCATTCTCCCGGACCAGGCTGATCCACCACATCGTCGTAAGCACCCTTCGTCAACTCCTGAAGAATCTTCTTGAAGTGGTCGGAGCTCCCTGCGGAGATGCTCTCCAGGGTCCGCTCCGCTTTCGTAGTCGTGCGGAGGTGAGCGGCCGCTGCTCGTGCGAGACGGTCCCCGTCAACAAGCCAGACAACTCCTCGACGCACCGCAACTCCATTCTTCATCTCGCGCTCCTGCATCAAGATAGTGGCGGGGCCGTGAAATCGACCAGCGATGCCTGGTCGAGTCTTGTGACTGTTACCCTTCGCACCTCGCCAGTAGTGTGCCTTCTCACCAGGCTCCCAAGTCTTGAACGGCCTCGTCTTGGCCAGCAGAGCACGCTTCGTCTTCTCCGACAGGTAATGGTCCACGCACGCCTTGTAAGCAGCCGCCTTGATGCGCGTGACCTCCTGGAAGTGTTTGTCCACCACATTTGCGCTCAGGACCGAAGGATTCTCCACTTGCTCCAGGCCCTGCCCCGACGGGGTGCGACCCATCATGAGCATCATCGGGCTGTAGCCTTGGTGTCGCATCAGGTCGTTGTTGGCCACGCAAGCCCAGCGAAAGATGTCCGCGGGATCTGTGTCGTCTGGTAGCTCCCAGGCGAGGCGAGTGGCGATGTCCTTGACGGTCTCGATGCACCTTTCGATCACTCCCATTCGCCAGTGAGCTTCTCCGGGTTCCGGTCTCCACTCCATGCCGTTACCCGAGACCCAGGCGCGCTGCTCGACCTGCTTGAAGCAACCCTCGGGATCTGTCCTGAAAACCTCCGGCTTGCCGTAGTGGTGGATCCAGTCCTTCAGCACTACCTCCTTCATCTCCTTCGCGGTGGTGTTGCCACAATGCTCCTCGACCCCCTTCTGACAGTGAATCGACGTCTGGGTAAAGCGGTTGCCATAGTCTGCACAGAGGGTCCCACGAACTTGGTAGGCTCGTCGAGGATGTGTCCAATAGAAATTGTCGCAACCCATCTCGGTACCAGGAGCGGGTAATGTTGGTTCTGAGCTGGCAATAGGTCGCATCTGAAACCTTTGAGCTGCCTTACAGGCCGGACACTCGTAGTGGCTGCAAAGGTCGATGAGCTTCTGGTCCGCCTTGCGAGACTTGAGGGCGGCGCTGACCGTGCTCATACTGCAGTGTCCGAAATTCCGATGGATGTGTGCGATGATGGCCTCCAGCTCGCGCAACTCTGCCTTGGTACAGTTCTGGGCACTCCTTGGCAGTGGCAGCCTGAGATTGCCCACCGACTGCTCTTGACCTCCCGACTCGGGCGTCGGCGGGGGCGCCTCGCCTTCTGGAGGGACTTGAGCATCTCCAGTTTCGTCAGGATCAGGAGCTGGTACTTGACCGCCTGCGCTTTCTCCTTGACTCTCGGGAGCTGTGGGCTCCAGCGTTGGGCGCTTCGGCGGCGGCGGTGGTGGCCCTTCAGAGGCGGGCCGCTTCTCCCGCAAGCGCCTGTAGCCCGCTGCGCACAGCTCGTCGTCCAACTCGTTGTGGGCCTGCACCAGATAGGCGAGGGCCTCGTCCGAGGTGGCCCTGGTCATGAAGTGCTGGGCGATCCTCCGGCACAGGTTCACGGGATAATTCGCTGACAGTGCCACCCTCGTGCCGCCTTCCAGCGGCATATGCAGATGCAAGTCAGGGCAGGTCCTCCCAACCTTCTTCTCAAACTGCGGGTCAGTGGTCGCGATGTGCCAGTCCTTGCGTATGAGGAGACCGCTCTGCTCGTCTCTCATATCGTACATGCACCCGTGAATCCTGCAGCCATGCATGGACTCTTTGAGCTCCCTGAAGTTGCCTGTCCAAGACCTGCAGCGTCCCGACTGCTCGAGGTATATGCCACAGAAACCCTCGTTCAGCAGCTGACCGATAGCCCATTTGACGTTCCTCTGGATACGTCTGGTCTTGATCAGCTTCTTCTCCGACTCCGCCGTTACGGGGTTCAGATTCTGCCATGGGCACTCTGCTCCGCACGGTGGGGAAAACCAAACTCTTCGAGGCCTCTTGACCCGCAAAGCCTTCACGAGCTTCTCTGCACCAGACCTGGTGGAGAAGTCATACCCGTTCCAGTTGCTGAATCTCTCGGCCTTGCCTCCTTGCTCGATCATCGCGTGCGTGAGCCTGGAGTCGGACACACAGGCCACTTCTGCGAGGTCCAGCCTGCCATAGGTCTCGGCTGCCTCCCAGGCGGTGCCCGGCATCTCTCCCAGAGCCGCCGTCGCCGCGATCAGCGCTCCAAGTACACAGCTCTTCACACGAGATGAAAGTCTCCGGCTGGCCTCGGCAGTCCCGACGGTGTCGGCAGATCCTCCGGCACGGGAATCGACTCGGCCTTGGGCATCTGGCTGACGCCCAGCCTCTTGCTCGGCCTGGCCCTGTCGTCCACCTCCGTCGGGTCCGTCGGCGTGTCGATGAGGCCCTTCTGGAGGATCTCCTTCGCGAGGCGCTGCTGCTCCTCCTGGCGGATCTTGATCCTCTCGCTCTCGATGATCTGCTGCACCTCCGTGTCCGTGAGCTTCCGAATGGCCTCGGCCGACAGGCGCTCGGGCAACTTCTTGGTGGCCCCTGGAGGGCTCGGTGGAGGCATTGGCGCTGGCGCCGTCGTCGTCGCCGTGGCCTCGCTGTCCGAGGAGCTCGACTGGTTCATCATGGGCGCCACGGGCTGGGCCGTGCCCGTGGTCTCCAGGCGGTGGATATACTGCCGGGAGCGAACACACTGGAGGAGCATCTGGTCGCTCGTCTTCGCGAAGTGGTACTTGAACAGGAGCTCCCCGCAGTTCCTGCACATGATCAGGTCCACGACAAGGTTGGACCCCTGACGTGTCTGGTCCCGATGGGCGCATTTCGACATCAGCCTGGAACGCGCTCTCGAACTGAGACCTGCTTCGTTGAACTTCTTGAGCCGAAACGGTTCTTGAACACAAGGATCGTGGGTAGATAGTAAGACCGACCCATCTCGAATGTTCGACTTGTCGAGCTGTTTTATTCGATAGTCTCTCGATGATCATCATGTGTTCCCCGTCTTCTCGAATCATATGAGTATGGCGTTTCCCCGATAAGCTGGCTAAACTAAGAGCTTCAAAATCTCGAAGATCACATCTTTGAAAACGAACCCGACGATGAACCCGAACTAGAGCGTGTGAGCAGTCGACCCATATATCCCGACTAACTCTCGCACCTTCTTTCCAGTCAGCCCGTTCCCATAGATACCAAAGAATAGGTTGTAGCATAGACTGGCTTAGCTCGGGGTAGGGGCCCATGATGGAGACACTGACCTCGAGCAACTTCTGGAGCATCTGGGGGAGCTCATTGGCGTCTTTGGGCCCCCTGGTGGCGACAGACTTGGACGACGACTTTTCCACAGTCCCTTTGCCGCGACCAGGGTGCTGTCCCTATTCGCTGCTTGCGCCCGAGGCCTCGTTGCCCAGAGCAGTAAGGTTCAGTGCCAAGTGACCTGACGGGAGCACTCTAGTAGGGATCTCACGCTTGAACCGATGAGAGTACACGGTGTTGTGGAAGTAATCGATCACGAGCCCGTACTTCTTCAGCATATCGATTCCAAGCAGCACCGGAGACTTACGATCCAGCACGTAGATGCTCACAGCCTCATCGTTCAGGACCTTCACGTTAAAGGTCACCCGTGAGGGTGCGTCTGCCCGGTCGCCTCCAGCAAATGAGAATCCCAGACTCTTGTCCGGGCTGACCTCCATGGGCTCGCTCAGGCGCTCGTTCACGTACTCCAGCTGCTCCGCGCCTCCGACTGATCTGGACGCTCCACCGTCCAAGAGCGCGTAGCCCTTGCAGTCGTCCATGCTGAAGGCCGCGAACTCGTCCAGCTCCTCCTCGTCGCAGTCCTTGGACTCGCCCTCGTCGTTGACCGTGCCGACGAACACGTCCTGGACGTCCTCGAACTCGACCTTCTTGCTGTAGCCGTCGGCCGCGCCGACGAAGCTGTTGAAAGCCCGGCGCCTCTCCCCTTGGGCGCCTTTGCCCCGATTGGGGCAGTCCCTTGCCTTGCGGCCTGGCTCGCCGCAGAGCAGGCAAGCCCCCTTGAACTTCTCGTTGGTCCCTGAGTTCGAGTCCTTCGGAGGTGCTGCTGGACGCTTCTGACTCTGACCACGACCCTTGCCGCGGCCTGCCACGCCGCCTCGATCCTTGCCCTTGCCCTTGCGAGGCGGTCCGCCCCGACTCACTGCACGTCCGCGCCCAGCTCCCGCGGCGGGTTGAGTCGGGAGCGCGTCGTAGGCGCCCAGACCTACCACCGGAAAGTAGCCCCTGGCGTTCTTGACCTCGTTGATCAGCTTCCTCGCTTCCACGAACGTCCTCGAAGCCGCGAAGGCCGTCTCCGTCCACTCGTCCGTCTCGTGAGTCGAGGCCGCCGCTGCCAGCGCATCCTCTCCTTGCTCCTCGTCTCCTCTAGGCTCTTCACCGAGCGCGGCGGTCATCAGGTCTTCGGCTGCCGTCATCGCTGACTCCGTGATGTCTGCCGCCTCCTCGAACCCGTCGATGTACGCCTCGTCGTAGACCTCCTCGGCGTAGGCGGCGAGCTCGTCGGCGTCGTCGAAGACCGCGTGAGCGCCCTTCCTGGCCTTGTATCCCTTCTGCTTGTCCCGACCACTGCTCAGCTAGCGCCTTCTTCACGTCCTGGTAGAGGTATGAGTTGCCCTTGGGGCCGCTGGTCGCCAGCACCGCGGCCTGCTCTGACGGGTCCAAGCCCGTCCCGTCCAGCAGGATCAACCCTAGGATGAACTCGTGCATGAAACCTTGGGCCGGAATCTCGTCACAGACTGCGTGGAGGGCTTTACCGATCTTGCTCAAGTGGATGTCAAAGCGAGAAACCCATCTCTTTGGACCTTCACCCGGATGCCGATACACTCCACGCATGAATTCTCGCCACTTTGACACAGCTTCCTGCATCGTGACCGTGCCTCTAACTCCTTTGAGCGCCTCCACGACCTTTTCCGCTCCGTCCTCCTTGACGAGGTCGTCGAGCGAAACCTTCTTTGCCTCAAACCACTGCTGCGAATCCTCGTCCATTGCCTGAACCAAACGCGGGCCGAGGTAGATCCTGTCATCCTTCTTTGTGCCCAGGACCCACAACTTCACCTTTTCCTCGAAACTCTCTAAAGTGGAGGCCTCACCATTCCACACAGGAATCTTGATTCCGGACTGCTGCTCGTTCGCCATCTTGATTTGGAGATCGACCTCGAAGTGGGCTGCCACTTCGTCTCGCTACCAATGTCAGTGGAGCGTGCCTTCCACGGATCTTCAGCCTTTCACTTCGAGAAATCCTCACAAGCTCTAGGATATGATCCTCAGGGTTGTGTAGGTAGGCGGAGATGTTGAGCTCGCAGAGCTTGAAATACAGCAGAAACGGTGGGCTCGTAGAGCTTGGATATACTGTCCAAAGTGAGAGCACAACGTTGACGATGAGAGAAACTCGTTTTCTATCTCGCGTGGTCCCCCCTGAGCTTCGGACCGATAAGTCAAAATCGCCAAAAGGGGCCTCTTGGCCCGGCTATAAGCCGGACGGCTACGGACAGGAAAACAGAGCACGTGCGGGTGGTTGCACATGGGTTCGAGAGCTCCGAGGACCCGAACAGGACGGACACGGGGTCGGGAGCTCCGGTCACACAGAACCTTAGAAATCTATCTGAGATTCACATCTCCCCCCACCCCCCAGTCCCAACCCCACCCGCCTCGCGCGCGCACCGCTTTTGCAGCCTCCCTCCTCGCGCCCGCCCCAGCCCACCTCTCCAGAGGATGGACCGAGTCGTGCTTGTTTTCTTGGTGTCGCGGGCGACGCCCGCTTGGCAGGCCCGCGACACGTTCATCGTGTCTCCTGCGGACTCGGCTTGGATCGCTGACGTAGGCCCGCTGTGTTCGAACACCTCCCATGCATTACCCCCTTGCACCCTTCCGCTCCCCCCCCTTCCCCTGGCGCGACGGGGGCCTTGAGGCCTTGCGTCTTGAAGCCGGAGGGGGGGGGGGGGGGGCATCAGTGCGCGCGCGCTACCGCGGGAGGTTCCGAGACAAGCGTAAGCCGCTGCGTTCCCGCGCGCATGCGCGCCCGCGACTCCCTTATCCCCTTCCACGCGCGCACGCCCGCCACCCTCCCCCGAGCAACGTCGACCCATCAGGCGGCGCCTCCGCGGCTGGCGGGTGTCTGGCGGGCCCCGCCGCCGCTGCCGCGACTGGGCTGCTCCTCCTACGGGCCCCACCGTCGCCCGTCAACGTGGGGTTCGGGGCTGGCGACCCCGAGACGCGGTGCGCGGTGCGGAGCTTCGGTGCAGACGGCAGGCTGTTGTGGTCGAGCATCGTCGCGGCAATCAAGGCCCGTAGACGCGCGGATGGCGATGCAGGTAACGGCAGTGTAGGTGGTGTCATTGTTTGTGAGGCTGGTTCGTTGCCGAACCGATGTTTCAAATGCGTTGCCCAGGTTTGCGTGGTGTGTTCGTGGGTTCCCACGGTTTCTCTTGCGCGACTTTAGCGTCGCAGTCGAAGAAATGGCGACAATGCCAACACAGCCGTTGCCCAACATCGCCATCGGCGCGGCTTTCAAGAGGCCCTGCCGTGCATCCCAGCAGCCGACGTTATTGGTTTCAGGGATGCTTCAGCACGGAAGCCATTCACCCTCCTTGGCGCTGACAGCGTTCGGTCCTTGTTCGCTTTGGATTGCATTGCCAGTGCAGTGCAGGAGTTGCGCGCTGAGGGGTTCCAGGTGGACGTCCGCAGCGGGTGCACGTGGGCGCGCGTGCCCCAGTGGCCGATGAGCGCCTTGCTGATCAGAGGCGCGTTTCGGTCAGTTTACCTGTGGGAAGGCGCCTGCAGGGAGACGGACGCCGTGCTTTTCAGGGAGGCCTTCGGGTTGCGCGAGGCGGCCGCCGTTGCACCAGTGCATCCCGCCGCGCCGTCTGCATTCGACGTTCGGGGTTCGCCGCAGTTGGAGCTGCGATCGACCGCCATTGACATGGCGGCAGCGACGGTCAGCGCCTGCTACAACGCCCTCCCAGAGCATGGACAGCAACAGCACCGTGAGGAAGTGCTTGCGTCGCTGCGCTTCCTGGGGCACGCCTCTGACGCACTGCGGACCCACGGGAAAAACCAGCTGGATGGCACCAGGATCCGTGCCGCATCCAAGATCTTGAATGCAGTAATGCTCGCAACACGCTTGCACGATTCTGCTCATTTGGAAGGTGTGCTAAGGGGGTCCATCAGGCATTGCCTTCGCAAATCCATTGCGGACCCTATCTTGGAGAACCTCAAGTCGGGAGGTTTGGTGTCATCTTCTACCATGCAGCGCTACTTCGTGGTGTTCGATGCTGCTTTGCTGCTGGCCGACCAGATGCGATTTGCAACTAACCCGCCGCCCGCTGAATACATGCTGTCGGACTCCAGCCCCCTGTTGGGCACAGACTGGCTGCTGACGGAGACGTTCGAGTGCAGTGATCCTGGAAGGGTGTGGGAGATTACCCAACAGTTGTGACGGACAAGATGCACGCGATCGTCCACTCGTTTCGGCTGAGCTCACGTACCATGTTATCGCGTCAGCAGAGGGCCCAGAGAATCCTGTCCGTGACCACCGACATGGGGACGGAAGCGGGGTTGAGCAGCGCCCGAGCAGTCGACATGATGGATGTGTTTCCCCATTGGTTTTGACTTTGACGTGGTCCCTGATGGCGGGGGGGGCGAGGCCATGGACGTCTACCAGGAAGGCTGTCCAACTGCAACGCCAGCTTTCGAGATTACAGTGGGCGACGGCCGCGCGTCCCCCGATCACCGACATTGGGGGCGTGGCATTTGGCACCGCGTGCGACGACGGCGCCGTGCCGCGCGGGCCCGCCGATGTGGGCAGTGGCGGCGCGGCTTTCGCCGTCGTTCGCGACGGCGGCACGGCGGCCGCCGACGCAGCCACAGCTGGGCCCGAGACGCACGCGGGCGGAGAAGGTGATGCACCGACGGCATTCGTAGTGGAACCAGACGGCGGCGGCGGCGCGACCTTGGACATCGCTCATGTGGACGCGCCCAAGGTCGCAGACCCCCGTGGGGGCGCGCCAGGCGCAGGAACTACGCGTGATCGTGCGTTTTTCCACGGGTCCCTACAAGTGGCTGGTGTTTTACACATCACCAACAATGCCCTCCAAGATGTCCTTAAGGCTTTCACGCACATGGAGTGGTATTTGAAACGGGCGAAGCCGCTGATCCTTCTGCTCTGCGACCGTTTCACCAAGGAGCGGTTAATCGAGCGCTGCTTCAAGGCCCCCGAGGCCGAGGGCCACCAGAAGGCCTTGAGGGAGATGCGGACGAAGCCAACGGAGTGGCGCTTCGGGTCCTGGGTGCCAGCGCTGCAGCAGATGCAGTTCATTGAGGCTGGGATGAGGGCGCACTGGGACCTGCGCAAGTACAATGCGCGCCCAGGGGACAACCGCCCCGCGCGGCTGGACGCGGACATGGGCGAGAGCAGGGCGCAGCGGCCACCCGCCGAAGATGGCGGAGATGTCGCGGAGGCCGACCTGCACCTGATCGACGAGGCAACGGGCCCAGGGATTGCAAACGCTTGTCGGGGTAAAGTGAGCATTGGCCGCTCGACGGGGCCTGCGCCTGAGCGCGCGCAGGCTAGATGATGGAGGCTTGACAGGCCGAAGCAAATTGTTGGATGTTCTCGTGCGAAACGCCTGGTCTTTCGGTCACGATTGTTGAGATAGTCCAGTGCGAAACGCCTGCACCATGCCACATCATCATACCATCATATCATTATCATATCATTATCCCCGCCTCTCCCCCGCCATCGCCATCGCCCTTGTCGTCGTCGCCGTCGTCGTCGATCGTCCGCCTTCCTCTCAGCCCCCTCCTTCTCCTTCTGCACGCTCCAGCTCCAGCCCCCGTTCCCGCAAACCCATTCGGCGAGGATGGGAAAACATGCTGCCGCGCAGGGGTCCTCAGACCATAGCCCACGCCAGCCGAGGACCCCGCGTGGGGGCTCTGGAGCTCGCGCAGCTGAAGGCTGCAGGCGTCGCCGGAGGGCCGGAGGGGGCACCTCGTTTCCCCCCTTCCTCCTCCTCCTCCTCCTCCTCCTCCTCCTCCTCCTCCTCCTCCTCCTCTCCTCATCCTCCTCCTCCCCGTGTCGTCGTCCTCCTTCTCTTCCCCACTCCCCATCTCCTTTTCGCTCCTCTTCCTTCTCTCTCCTCCTCATCGTCCTCCTCCTTTTCTTCTCCCCCTCCTCCTCTTCTCCTCCCCTTCTCCTCCTCCTCCTCCTCCTCCTTCTCCTCCTCCTCCTCCTCCTCCTCCTCCTCCTATTCCTCCTCCTCCTATTCCTCCTCCTCCTATTCCTCCTCCTCTTCCTCCCCCCCGTCGCGTCCTCCTTCTCTTCTCCCCTCCCCTCTTCCTTCTCCCTCCACCTCCTCATCCTCTTCGTCGTCGGTCTCGTCGTCGTCCTCCTCCTCCGCCTCCTCCTCCTCCTGCGTTCCCCGCTTGGGGTGCGCGGCGCTTCGGCCCGTGGCTAGCGGGGTAGTCGCACGTTCGCGCATCCAATGCATCGGGTTGTTCTTGTTTAGTCTTGGCGGGGCGGGCGGCCAGTGTTTTACCTCGACGGCAGTGCGTTTGCGATTTCTTCGGAGCCCGCCAAGGCGGTGCGCGATCCGAAGTTCTGGGTGTACGGCCATGCAATATTATGTGCTGTGCACGGCTGCCTCTACGAGTTTCAGAACTATATGGAATCTTGCCCATGCCACGCAGTGGACTGCCGCGAGAAGGATGGATTTGCCGCAGGCCGCCCGTACTTCAGAAGGCGGGCGGAGTTCATCGGCGAAACTGGCCTCAAGCACTCGACCTGCCCGATGAGGGGCCGTCGCGCCCCAGACTTGGCCGCAGGGAAGCACAAGGAGTACTTGGCGGACCTCGTGGCCCAGTCCTTGGGCCGCCTGCTGGTCAGGTGCGAGGAGCTGACCCAGATGGGCCGTGACATGGTCGTGCGTGATTGGGAGTGCGCTCGTGCAGTGATCATGGAAGTGGTCCAGATCAAGTATGCACATTGGGCGTACTTGCCGCGCAAGTTTTGCGTGCTGGGTGCCACTGACAAGTGTGGAACCTCAGAGGCCACTGCGCGATTCGGGCTGCAAGCGTGCTTGCGCGAGTACGCCTTGCTCGACGAGTCCAAGCGCAGCAGTTTGTGGCCGTTGGCTGCCAGCGCGCTGGCGCCCTCGCCCCCGCTGCGCGACGAGGTGGCTGCCTTCGTGGAGCAGGGGGCTTCTCTCAAGAGCCTCCCCGGCCTCAGGCAAGTAGCAGGCATGGTCCTGGGCGCCCCCGTTGCAGAGCGGTCCATCGAGGCGAAGCACCGCTTGAACAAGCTAGCTTCGTCTCGGGCCCCCCACGCGGGGGGGGGGGGCTTCGTCAACGTCCACCTGAAACTGCCCGATGTCAAGCGGCGGCTAGCTGCCGACCCAGGCCTCCTCGAGCATGTGGCCGCCGACATGGGCCGCATCAGGGCGTCGTCCGAGCGTTTGCAGCAGGCTTTTGGGTTGCACGCGCGCCCGACGGCGTTCTCGGAATTCGCAAAGACTGGGCGCGTCAAGCAGTCTACGGCCACGAGCGTGCTGTACAGACTTGACAGTGAGACGCAGCAGAAGCAGCACGCAGCGTTGAAGGCCGCCTTCCCGAAGGGCAAGACTGACAGCGGAGGGGGGGGGGCACGTGCCCGATTCCCTGAACCACGGGCTCAAGATCGCATCGGCGGCAGCCCTGCAGCATCTCAGGAAAACTTTCAAGCGGGAGGCTTTTTATTCGATTGCTTTGCCGCGTGACTCCTTGCCTGAGATGGAATCGGCATTCTCTGGGTCGAGGAGCTTCGGCGTCCCTGGGCTGTTGTTTCTCACAGACGCACAGTACGCGCCTCCTCTCATGCTGCCCGCGGCGGCGCCCGCGCCTGCGGACGGCGGCCTGGGCCTGGGGCCGCCAGACGGCGCCCCCCCAGCGCTGGGGCCACACGAGCATTGTATTTTCAGGGTGGTTCACGCGAAGCCAGCAATTCGGCACCTCATCAAGCCGCGGGATTCCAACCTTACCACTGATGACGTGGCCGTGAGCGTGCACGACGTAGTCGGGTACGACAGGCCAGGCGGCTCCACTGAGCTTCTCGCGGCGTTGTCTGGCGCACGGTTTGGGGATGCTGCCGCGCCGCTGGATGGCGACGCCGACGCCGACGTCGCGATTGGCGTCGGGTCGACGCGGTTGCTCCACAGGTGTCATTTGGAGGCGCTCCCGCGCTTGCACCTTGACCTCCTCGAGTGGCAGCCGGAGGGGCAGCTCTTCTACCAGCCGAAGCGGTGGCCAGCGGACGTGCCCAGGGAGGAGTACGGGCTCGCGCCCGAAATCATCACGGACATGGTCATCTCTGGCGCTTTTCCAGGCGCAGAGTTCCTTGGTCGCCCAGCCATCCCGCGCGCTTGAGATCCTGGAACAGGCTGGCCTCGTGGATCGGCGTGCGGCGGGCGATGCGGGCGACGAGCTCGTCTGCTGGAACGCGAGCCTCGCTTGCATGCGGGACATCGCTGCCTTTGAGAAGCTCCGGCAGCCAGCGCCAGCCCTGAGATCCAGGATCGGCGTGCAGGACAACGACCGCGGGCTGAAATTTTTAAATACGTTACTTGTATTTTTAATGGTGTTTAATCCACCATGCCCCCGCGCCAGGACAAGGACGCATTTGAATTGCTCCTGGACTTGCAAGCGGCGGGCTGGACAGGCAAGTTGCTGCCGCACGGGAATGGGAAGAAGGCCGAGACGCCGCAGCCATATGACCCGAACAGTGCTGCTAGCGAGAAGAACTGGTACTTCCAGGCCGCCAAGAATACCATTTCCATCAATTACTTGCGCTGCTTGCTTGCGGGCAAGTCGGTCGTCGCCCACGCGTTGGCCGACAGGGACTACGCCGTGTTGTTGGGCACCGCCCGTCCTATGCGCCTGGCCATCCAGGACGACGCTGGGTGCCCGCGCCCGAGGGCGCCGAAACGGCAGCGGAAGGCTGCCGCGCCGCTGCCCCTCGAGGACCACGGGGCCCAAATGGGCGCGTTGTTGCTCAGTGGTCCGATCGATCCACCCGCCTTCCCCGCGAGGTGTGCGTTGGCCACTGTGGCCGTTAGCGCGTTCGCGCGCAGTCCCGTCGCAGGGACAACGTTTCCGCTGTTTGGTGTTGCGAGAAGGAGGGGGGGGCAGTCGGAGGGGGGCTGGGCGAGGGGGGAGGGGAGGGGGGAAAGGCCAGGGGAATGTCATGGAAGACAGGGAAGGGGCGGGGAGACAAGGGCCGTTCGAAGGGGGTTTCGGTTGAGATCCCGATGGGGCCGCGAAGCGTGCGGTGTGCGCCGAAATGGGCGGGGGGGGCCGCATGCTGCCACCGCCCCATTTGGGATTTCGGTGGAGTTCTCTATGTCGCCATGTTGTGTGCGAGGGGTGTGCCGACAACGGCTGGGGGGTCGCATGCGGCCACGCCTGCTGGGTGTTTCGGCGGAGCCCCTGTAGGGCTATGTGACGTGTGGGGGGCTGCATGTGGCCACTCCCCGTTGGGAGATGACAAGGCCGTTCGAACGACCACTGTGTAACTCTACCCGCATGTTCGCACCTCTGACCCCGCAGGTTATCAGTTGGGGTTCGCCCCCCTTCGTTCGCCCACAGGGCGCTGCCTCGGGCCTTGGCGGCGGCGGCGGCAGCGACCGCGGGGGCAGCAGGGGCGGCGGCAATTCGAGCGGGGATGAGGTGTCAGGACCAACACACGTTGCGTGTGCAACCGATGTATCGATGTTTTGGTATGTGGCCCATGGGGGCCAGACTCGGGGTCCATGGGGTGGTTGACGCACTTAGTGTCCGGATGTTTCTTTTGCGGGGTGACGGTGGGCTAGCACGCCCATCATACTTAACAAACATCGCGGCTGCCTGTATGGGCCTCAGGTCCCGTTTTAAGAAAATCATGAATTTAGGTTCCCATGTCAGCCTGGATTTGGATGTCGGTGTAAGGAGCTGCTTGGGGTGAAGGCCGTATTCGTAGCGTCTAATGTTCTTGACTCCAAGCAGGGCTGTAGGGTGTGGAGTTGGTTGCACGTGCATTTTTTTAGCAAGTTTCGCCGCTCGAGGTGGGCGCTGACTCCGACGCCTCCTGCCAGTCGTGGGCTCGATCGCCAGCGCTTGCGTCGCCTGGGCCAGCCCGTCAATGCGAGACCGACCCGCACCCCGCGTTGCCAGATGCATCGCCGTCTGCACCAAGCCCCGTTCAGCCGATGCCTGGAGCGACGGTGTCTCCAGACTGCCCGACGCCCTCAGACTGCCCGACGCCGCCAGGATCGCCAGGGCCTCTGACACCATCAGCCCCACCCCCAGCCCAGCCGCAGCCAGAATCGGCGATGCCCACAGGCTCAGGGTCACCAGAGCTGCAGCTACCTGGGTTTACACCCGAACAGCCAGGCGCGCCACTTGGGCCGCCAGTGCACCCAGAGCCGCCGCTGCCACCCGAACCCGAGCTGGAACAGCAGATGCCGCCGCCGCCCCCAGAGCAGCCAGCTGGCGCGTCGGATGCAGCGGCAGCAAGGCGCCATTCTCGGAACCCAGCGTCGGGGCCATTCGGCCCGTTCAGGATCACATGTTCAGTGTTGAAGAAAGATGGCTCGATGCGGCTGCAGGCGACGTGCAAGTTCCACAGGGATGATGGCGAGCCCTTGAGCACGATGTGCACAAAGACCCGTAATCTCAGCGCTGGCGGCGGGAACATGGAACAAATCCGTTTGGCCTTGCAGGCCTGGTGCATCGCTGGGCGCGGCCTGTCCCATAGGAAGGGCGAGCATGGCCAGCTCGAGCCCGAGAGCTTGCCGCCTGTCGGGGCATATACGATTGCACAGCTCGAGTCAGCATTGCCCCCTGGAGGGCCCTCGCACGAGTCGCAGGTATCTTGGCAGAACGCGACCCTGCCCCCGAACGCAGTCAGGGATGAGCTGCGCAACGCAGCGGCAACTGCGTTGTCGCCTGCGCACGCGGCAGCGGCGCCCAGCTCCAGCAGCTGTGTATGGAACCCGTGTAATACCCTCATATATACTCCTTATCCTTACCTCTCCCGCACCTGGCCGTTTGGGCTCAGGTACTGAGTTGGAGCGATCGTACCTTGATCGCTTGGGAGGGAAAGATATCCATCTATCCCTCCATCTCTCTACCAACGGATCAGGGGTTCTGTACTCTTGTACTTCAACCCCATACACAGGTTATCAGCCCTTTAACGCTCACCTTCACCGACTCGCCCGCGGTGACCTTGCATGCGAGCCCAATGGAGCCGCTTCGGCGCATGCGCCGTAAGGGTTCCATTGGGGCTTCGCGTCCAAGCTCTCCCACGGTGCGACGGCTCGGTGACGAGTTGGAGAGCATTAATGCGGACTGTGTTGGTGTCCCCGATACCCCCCCCAGCTCCCGAGGACCCGAGGCGCGTCTAGCTGCTGAACTTCGCCGCAGCGCCGCCCGCGGGGGGACAGGAGAAGGAGTAGGAACAGGAAGGGAGGAGTTTCACACGCCGACCTTTGATCCTCCCTCCCCTTCCCCGTCGGGAGCAATCCCAACCGCGTCAGGCGAAAGCCTTACCGGTCTCGATACTCCAGGGCGCTTCCGCGCTAACCGCCGATGGACCTCAGGTGCTGGAACCCCCAGCCCTGCGACCGTCCCTGTGGCGGAGCACGTAGCTACCTTCGAGGAACTCAGTAGACCAGTGTCGGCACAGCCACAGACGCGGTACCCCAAGGTATCATCGGATGAGACATCACACACACATGGTCCGAGTCGCAGCTCGTCCGCGCGCAACCGCCGTGGAGCCCCAGGCCCATGCGGCGAGCGCAGGTCGAGCCCGCGTACTGCCTCTCAGAGGCCATGCACTCCCCGCGACAGGGGACACAGGGAAGCTGACGCTCCCCACCTCTCCATCTCAGACGACCAGCTGGCGGAGACGTCCGCCGCAGGTGACATAGCTGAGCTCAGAGACCAGGTTGAAACCTTCGTGTCCAGCCAATACTCTGGACTACTACAGAGCGTTCAGACGAATGCCACGGATACTGCAGCCATACGCCGCGATCTTGACGGCGCCTTAGGGATCATCGATTCCAGGATCGCCGAAGATAGACGCATCATAGGAGAACTGCAGTACCAGGTTGATCGTGAGGTGTCACACTCAGGTGAACGAACGGCGATGGTCGAGAACCTGCGCAACTATCTCGCGCAGATGGAGCAACAACTTGTGATCGTACGCGACACAGGCATTTCTGCGGTCAGGATTTTACACGATGAGATCCACGACCAGCTCCGTAACCGACCAACCCCAACCGAGGCCACAGACCTCGGCGACGTTCAGTCTCAGATCAATGATCTTCGATCTTACCTAGACCACACTACGGCGACGCTTCGTACCGAAGCACACACAAACTCGTCGAACCTGATCGACATGTTGCAGCGTACTGAGAGAGTCATCACTCAAAGGCTTGATGCGACCAACGCTGTCGTGCAGCCACTCGCTAACCGGATCTCTGACATAGAGCAGCGTTTCCCTGGTGTACAGGACGCCCTGGCAGAGTTGCGTGTCGGACGAGCCCAGACTGATCAGCTGGATTCTCCTCCCACGGTTTACGATTTCGCCCGCCTCACTGACAGGTTGCAGGAGGTTGAGAAGGCGGCGGACCACACGCAGTTAGAGCTCTCCCAGGTTATTCATGAAAGAGATACTGAGAAGGTACGTGTAGAGAGTTACCTCGCACGTCTGGAAAGCGAAGTGGAGGCACAAAGCGCCCGTCTCCGAGCATGCGAGCATCGACTTGATCGGTATTCACAACGTTCTCGGGATACTGATGAGTACACACGCCAAAAGGTGGGTCAAATACAAGAAGACATGACGAGCTGGACGAATCAGCTGATCGACCACACTAACGACACCAACGTTCACCTTCGACCTGCAGCCGACCCGCACAGGCCGACGGCAGCGTCCGCCGAAGCACCACAAGCTTCAGCAGGACAACAACGACGTACATCTCCAGGAGCAGCCTCCGCGGCAGTTTCTGCACAGACACGACATGTGTCTCCTGTGCGCACAGAACCAACCATCGACGGTGCACCGATACCCTCACAACCAGTGTCTGCGGTGTCGGTACATACAACGACGCCTATCAAGGAGTCAGACACCGTTCGAGTACCTGTCTTGCCTAAGATCACGCAGCTGCTGGAATGGCAGCAAAGAGTGCGAAAGAACTTCGGGGCCGCCTCAGGGCGACCATCCAAAGCATACGCCTTCCTATGCGTGGCAGAACAGCCCGAATGTACATTCGAGGATTTACAAGACAGTGGAGACTTTGAGAGCATCGATTGCAAACTCGCAACCGCTCTGAGCGACATCTTATCCTCAGACTTACGCTACCAAATCAGGCTCATCGAAACCAGAGAGCACAAAGCAGGACGCATGCTCAAAGGACGCCAGAAATACTGGCATATCCTACAGTCCTACAAAGTGACAGACGTCGACGACGACCTGCACGATTTCGAGCGCCTTAAAGAACTGAGGATGAGAGACGAAGATTTGCAACGTTTCATTACCGATTGGGACGCCTTACTCTTGGAATGCCGAGAAGTACCCGATCCAAAGATATTGGAATCGCTATTTCGCACACAGATTCGTAGACATGCATGGATGAAACAAGACATGTACGAGTACCAGCGCATGAAGATGAGCGACCCGAATCGTACCTACGGTTGGCTTCGACAGCGTGTCCTGGACATACTGGAGATTAAACAATTGGAGAAGAATCAAAACAAGCTACGGTACGAACACGAGACACGATCTCAGGTCAACGTGTGCGTTGCATGGAAGAAAGGCAATTGTCGCAATGGTGAACGGTGCAAGGCTTTACATACATATTCCAGGGATTGGAAGAACAACAAATCTTCCAGAACATCAACGGCTGGTGGCAACCCCCGCCGTAGTATGTCCACTCCTGCGAATCACAAGAAGCCAGCATCAAGGCCGTTCTGCTTCGATTTTGCCAAGCGCAACACATGTACCAGAGGTGATAAGTGTAACTACCCGCACGTCGCACAGTGCAAGGATTTC